AACTCCTCTCTTCAATGCTTAACTCATCATTCAAGTAACTCCTAATTTAATGCATTAAAGAGATGGCTCATCTTCTATGAGTATAAATAGAAAAGCTCTCAGTTGGAGTGGATATAGAGAAAAAACACAACAAGAGAAAAAAAATACGAGCTTTCCTTCTAAGCTTCTAGCATCTAATTTCTTCTTTCCGATTTTGTTCATTTCCTTCATTTGCTAAAGTTCTTTGAGAGATAAACACAGTTAGTTCGTAGGCGGTTAACGTAGTGCAGCGTGAACCGTCAACCAATTGTATCCTGGGAATCGAACACCGATCAAAACCTCTTGCACTCCGGTGAGGCGGGGAATTCGATTTAAGGAAATCATGTAAACACGAGCATTCGGTTTGATTTGATTCTCCATTATTATCTCACAGGAACTAGGACTACCAACATTTTTTTTTCTTTTACCTTATAACTTTGACCTAAACAAGTTATAGTGTACCCCAAAAAGTTCATGTCCAACTCAACTTTAAATTTTAACACGATCTAAAATGTTATTGTACTTCCACCTCTAAAATGGGTGAAGATAATTATAAGGAAACTTTCATAATTAAGAGGATTACAATATATAATTTCAAAATTAAGAAATAAGTTTTAAAACTTAAAAAATCAGATGATAGTTAAATTTTATTAATTGAATAAATAAATAAAAGAAATTATTATTTAGATATATTAAGGTCACAATTCTTTTGAATACAAATCAAAATTTTTATAGGTCACAATTTATTTATCAGTCACAAATCAAACATTTTATAGGTCACAATTTATTTATCAGTCAAAAATCAACAATTTTATGGTCACAATTTATTTATCGATTACAACTCACAAATTTTATAAATCACAAGTTATTTCTCGTTGAAAACTTAATAAATCGTTAGCTATTATTATATTTTTAGGTCACATATTATTTATTAGTCACAAATTAACCAATTTATTGATCACAATCAACCAAAATAATTAGTCACGAAACACCCCCCACCCCCACGCTGTCCAACCCACAACCACTGTCCCACTATCACGACCATCACCACCATCTTACCAATGCAGCCAACATCACAACTACCACCACCCAAACACTACCAAAAATCAGATCCAAAATTATCGATCGCCACGACCACTACCAACATCATGACCACCACCTCACCAGGACCGCCAATATCACCACCAGACAACCATCGCAGCCAATATCACACCCACCACCACCACAACCTAAACACCACCAAAAAATCAAATCCAAAATTATTACGTCTCTATTTCGGTGTCTCGACATCGCACGATGACAGTGGCGTTTCGCTTTATAACAGTTAATGTTTTCAGAAACAGCTATTGAAGATTTGTAGTGACATCTTAGCATAATGCATCTGAATTGGCATCCCGGCATCGAGCGGCTAAGCATCGTGCATCTGCAACAAAGTCTTTATCACAGTGCTGCTCTTAGAGTGACGCTGTTAAGACAACGTCGTGAATGCCGAGCTGATGGAGTTTTGAGCACCGAGAAAAGGGCTCGTGAGCGGCTGAGCACCGCTTTGATGGTGCCTCCGATGATGGGGTGTGGCAAAGATATATAGTGAGAGAATTGAGAGATATAGAGAAAGAAATGAGAGTGGAAAATATTTAGGGTTTGTGATTAAATTTGGTGGGGTGGATAAAGGTAGAGTGTGCATATAAATTAATTTAATTTTATAATACTATTATTAATATTGAATTATAATTTGATTTTTGTATAAACAAACTTTAAATCTGATTTTTAAA